CCCCCCCATACATGACAAGGATCAAACCTAGCCATTGGCTGTTAAGGCGCCAAGTATTGCACCCAGGGAAAGGTAGTTGGAGTGTCATATGTTTCCCCATTCCCAGAAATACTCTAGCTTTCAGGTGGACTGGTGGTGGAAAAGGGTACAAAGATGTCACCTGTACTGGATTCGCCAGGACAGTCCCACCTCTTGGACCTCAGTCTCAATGATGCTGTGTCTGATTCAGCTTGGTGCCTTGGGGGCACCTGAAACCCAAATTTCAATATGCAAGGAGAAAACACAAAAGAAATACTGCTCCTCCACGGCTCAGGAAAGGAATGAGCTTGGTGCTTGACACTGGGAGCACATCCTCGCTCCAATATTGGCCCATACAAACAGAAGAAAAGCTGACGGGCATAGTCTATTGAAACTTGTACCACATCACTGGTGTCCCGCCCAAGGTCCGCTCACAAATAACGCGTTTCACCCAATGAGGCCTTTTGTTGACTTTTTGCATACATTTCGGGCCTGGATGCTTTTCTTAATCATTTTTAGCCGGTTACTAATTCAGAAAATGCATGTTACATGTGTGTTTTGCATATGTTTCAGGCGCTCCTCTTAAAGTCTATGGGGGCCCAAACACTTGACTATTCTCCAGGAGAAACTCTTGTACTTTTTTAAGCTACAGGCATTTTAGTACAAGCGACTGAACGCTCAGATGTAAACAGAAGCCATTGAAAACAATGGGATTCCTCCTGTTGAGGGTTGTAACTCTTAGGCATTCAAGCTACAAAACACTCAGGTGTGAATGGGTGCCTTAATGTCTGTAATTCACCTTTTGTGTCTGAGGACGAAGGATGTTTTCTGATATAGACGGCATACACAACACAGGCTCCCACTGCTCCCACAATGAGCACCACCATGAGGACACCAAGAACGATTGATAAAACGCCATCACTTCCTGAAATATAAAAATGTAAATGATCTTAGACGTGTAAAACACTCCTCTGCCATTGTCTCAGGGCTACAAATAGGACACGTTGTTAGATAACAGTTGGGTGCACGCTGTGGTATTTAGTCTATTACAAAAATCAAAAATGTGCATAAGCTGAGTGCAATTTGAATCCTCTTTATATCAGTTTTAAAGTGGACTCATCAATAAAGTGTATCTAAAGCCAAAATCTTTTTTATAATGTTGGATAGAGTAGGAAGAGATCAGAACCTTTGTGAGATACAATATTCCTCAATATAGACAAAAGAAAGCACGCCAAAACTAACCTTTGGGGATCCCCTTTATGGAGGTGATATCTATCACCTTGAAAGAAGGGACTCAGAGTCCCCAAAATGTTCCTTGGTTTTGTATGGAACTCCAGTAAACACTTTGGACTGAACCTTGATGTGCTGGCTTTTATCTGTATTGGGCTTTTCATGGTACCACGGTTGGCCAAGTAACCTCTAAACCCTGGCAGTAGAGGAATCTGTGCTGTACGGGCTGTTAATGATGATGTTTTTTGTTGCTGTTTGGGTTCTTGGGACATTCATTCTCCCTCTATTGGTCCTGGTGACCATTGTTCCACAGGAAATCTCCCCAATGGGACACCAATGGCAAAAAAGTGGGCAGTGGCTACGTGAAATAAGTACATTATAAAAAAATATTGACACGTTGAGCTGTGTCATATTATATATAAAAATAATTATAAGTTTATAGTTCCTCGTTAATTGTTCATATTTAGTGATTTCAATTATTTGTTTTAAAAATATTATCCTACTTTATAATTGGGTCAGAGGTTTTTTGTTTTAAATGAATAAACACGGCAAAAAAAGGCAAATGGTATATTGTATAATTATCCAGAAAACATCACTAACCTTTAGACCCTCCAACTGGCACAGGATGCGGACAGTGATCCTTACATTCGGGTGTTTGACACCTAAAAGTATAAATCACAAATAAATTAATTATTTACATATAAAAAAAATTATACATTTACATATAAAAACTGTAAGCATGGTCATAGAAGGACCAAAGTACTACTAAGAGCCATCTACGTATCTTAAAGCTCATTGCTGCTCTAGAACTCGAGTGCTGGGTGGTGCGTGTGCACCTGTTCTCTCTTTTTTTTGGATCTCGCTTCAATCCCCCCCAGCGTCTCCCCATACACTTTAATCCCCTCCGGTGTCTCCCCATACACTTTAATCCCCTCCGGTGTCTCCCCATACACTTTAATCCCCTCCGGTGTCTCCCCATACACTTTAATCCCCTCCGGTGTCTCCCCATACA